AGCGAGTTTACATGCAAAGTCAACGGTTGACGAGCGTATAGACGCAGCAAAAGGTCCCGCAGCGCGTTTGAGCGAGTCGGGAGCGCACCGCCAACGCGCTGCTGCTGCAGCGCCGCATCAACGAATCAGAGAAGCTGATCTGGGAGCTGACAGCGAGACAGACACAGCGCTCTGATGACATATTATATTAAAGCAAATGAAAGGGCTGGATGGATGAGGAGATGATGAAAGCGTGGCTGAGGGAGGTGTAGGCTATGTGAGGAGACCAGGTGGTTTTTTTCCACGCATCACCATCGCTGTTAATCTGTGACTCCATGCGTGCCCATGTCACAGCTGATGTGAAAAACATGGTGAAAAAAAATAAACGCTGTGCTCGCCGTTATCTCGGGGGTCTGACAAAGGAACTTCCACCGCTCGACATCGGTGTGAACCAGCCGTTCAAAGTAAGGCTGCGAGCTGCGTGGGAGCGATGGATGACAGACGGAGACCACAGTTTCAGGATAAGTGGAAGGCAGCGCCGGGCAAGTAACGCCACCGTTTGCGGATGGATTGTTGATGCTTGGACTAAGGTGTCTGCTGGCTCTGTTGTTCAAGCTTTCGCAAAAGCAGGCATTATTTCTGAGGAGCCGCGCTGCACGGAAAGTGACTCTGACAGCGAAGAAGGGGAAACTGGCATGTCTGATTTAGCGCAGCTGTTTTATTCAGAAACAGAGGATGATGACTTCGATGGGTTTGATTAATACTTTGTAATAAATACAAATAAAGCACAATCATACTCAGTTTTGCCCCCGCTCTATTTTTCTACCTGAAAACTTAATTCAACAGCAGCCTCTGGGCGGGTCTCCTCCTCTTCACCGCAGCGGCTGGCAGGTGTTTTTTAATCTAAATAATCTAAATCTTGCAGCTATATTTGCTGTGATCAGTGGGAATAAAGTAGTTTTAATATGTTTTTAAGTGAGAAAGTCCACCTGAAAACTTCATAATTGCAGTCAGTTCATCCAGATTATCTATTTCTGTCGGAGGCTCTCAGACCCCCACATACCAGCGGTGCACCAACAGCAGAAATCCCTTCATCAGCAGCCTCTAGGCTGGGCAGCCTCCGGGTTCACCGCGGCTGCTGGCAGGTGTTTTTCATCTAAATAATTTTAACTGCAGGCACCAGGATACCGGTAATAAAAGCGAACAAATTCCGCCGGCAGGTTTCAGGATTTTAAGTTAATTTAGGAGTGATCACAGCGCTGTGTCATCTGCGATGTGTCTGTCTCACGGCCAGCTGCCAGGTTTGATTAATACTTTGTAATAAATACATGAATAAAGCACAGTCATACTCAGTTTTGCCCCCGCTGTATTTTTGAATACGCAGTAGAGGTATTTAAAGGTAGTAGAGGACATGTACCGGTATATAAAAAACGTGCCCTATAGTCCGGTGCGCCTTATGTGTGTGTTAAATACAGAAATGGGACACATAACTGAGAGTGCGCCTTTTAGTACGGTGCGCCTTATGGTCGTGAAAATACGGTATTTTTTTTGCAAAAAAGATCAAAATAATAATCTTTGGCTGCATCATTTTAACACGTTTGTATAGTTTGTATTGTTTTAGCTCTGCATGATAAGCATTGCTGCCTTGCTGAAAGGTAAATAGTTTAATACAAAATAATATTTTGCTTTTCTAGATCAACTATATACATTGGGCCCTAATGGAGCTACTGTATCTCAATGTTGCAATGCTTATCTTGACATTTTCCGGCTAACGTTTATTAATATATGGCCTAAAAACAACTGGGTGCTGACTCCTGTGGGTTAAAACATGGCAACTGCATTTAAATTTTTCTGTAGGTTAAAACTATTGGCTTGGTACATGTGTACGCCACAACCCTGTGCTCAGATGTAATGGTTTGTTCATCTTAGGAACTCCGAACTGGAAAGTGGCAGTGCAGCAACATGGGAGGCGATAGTATTCCTGTTTACCTCATGTCGGAGGTCATATCTCTGTTGTTCAAATATGGCAACTATTGTAACCTGAACAATGCTCTGTGTGGTGTTGGGCACACATGAATTGATTATTATTTTTCTGGGGGGGGGTGTTATCACATACCTGTAATCAGCATAATTTTAGGTACTTGGATTATTTTGTCATATCAAATTCATAGTTACCCTTGTTCTGCCCACATTTCAGCTTTACCCCTCCACTCATTCCCACAGTTTGTCCTGCCCCTCAGTGTCCCTTGGTATTACCCAATTTGTCTGGAGTTGAGCAGTTTTAGTTGAACTTTGTCTCAATCTTTTGCAGCCTCCAACCAATGTTAAATGCATTTCATAAAGCATCTTTTCGGGGTAGAGTACTTGAGTACACTTTACATTAAAATCAGTCATTTACTCACATATTCACACACTGATGGTGGTAAGCTACAGTGTAGTCACAGCTGCCTTAGGACAGCACTGATGGAAGCAAGACACCACCTGGCCTTTGTAGGGCAGTGTACAGAATTAAACATTGTTCTGTTATTTCTGTTGTTCATTTTCAAGAAAAATATCCTCAGCAAAATATGGCGATGGTATCCTAATATACAGGAAGATTTACGAACATACAGTATGGTGTTTGTTTTCGACTACACAGTATTTTAGGGCCCTGTCACACCTTGAAGATTTAGCTAGTGTATGCCTGCCATCTCAGAATCTCCTAAAATGCTTGCATACGCTGAACCTTCTATGTATTTTATTCAATGTTGGGAGTATACAGAACTTATGTCCGACAACTTATGCTTACGCACAGCAGTGTAATGCCCATGAAATCATGCAAAAGCATCACGCATTACTCAGCATCATTTAAAGCTGCTCCGCCTCAGGTGATGATACCCCCCCCCCCCCCCCCCCCCCCCAGCTTGGATAAGCTAGATAAAGAGCTTATCCAAAAGCATATGCCAACGATCGGATAACTTACCAGTAACTTATGGCCCAGGTATGAGCATACGCTGGGATAGATTTGCCAGATTTTTTGGTATATCAGGCATACGCTGGTCTAAATGTCAAGGTGTGACAGGGGCTTTACAAAAAAGTCAGGAACTTCCTCCACATGTTTGCTGTGCCCACTGCATGATCTGTAGCAAAATGCCATGTTTTCGTGGCTTCCTTTCTAAATTTACTCTTGTTTTAGTACTTTCATTAACATTTACTCTGCAACTGTCACAGTCTTGGTTTTGTTATGTTTATTTAGAGTATTCAGTTTTACTTTGCTTCTTGTTTTAGTGTTTAATTATTATTTTGTTGTTTTCTTGTTAGTTCCTGTCTTCCAGGTTTTCCATTTGTTGTCCTCTGCTGCCCTCTTGTGTCCTCTATCCCTAGCTCTGTTTTCTGCTCTATCCTCACCTGTTTCCAATCCTCTCGTTAGCCCTCTCTTTGTCTCTGTCCCCTTTAAAAGCCCTCCCTCTTCAGTTCCTGTTTGCTGGATCCTCGTCTAACGTCTGTCTGCTTACCTCGTCTCTCCCTGGCTCCTAGAGTTTGGTTTCCCTTGATGTCTCCTTGGTTCTGGTTTGTCATTTTTGTTGGATTTTTTGATTCCTGCCTCTGTACCTGTGGACCTCATTAAACCCACCTAAATTCATCTCTGCCTACTTGCCTCTGCATTTGGGTCCTCAATCCAACACCAAACCGTGACAGCAACTGCCTGGTTTAAAGATTCTCCTACATAAAGTATTGATCTCTGCAGCTCCTCCTAACTCAGCTTTTTGACAAATGAAATCAAATCACGCACAATAGGACATAATTCATTAATAATATGTAATCTCTTGAAATCAAATAGTTTTAGTGTTTGTTTTTTTAGGACTTTTGGAGTTTATGGGTACTAAATACAAATCTGCACCACTATTTCCTGGTTTTGATTTGTCCAACAACTTAAAAAAACATGCATCACTTAATGTCTAATAAGGATGCGCTTATTTCTGATGAATCCTAATAAAATGCAAAATCCAACATTGTATATAAAGTTGAAAGGGTGTGATAACATTTGGATGACAGTAGAAAACACAGTGTAGTTACTTTTTTGTCATACTTACTGTACAGAACTTTAGTACTTGGAAATTATTTTAACTATAGTGTTGTAGAAGTGTAGCACCCCTTACCTTTTCCTTCTCTCTTACAGTAGCATCTTCAATTTAATTTGTTCCTATACTGAATCTCTGGTGCACAGCTGCCAATCTAAACCAATTAGATAGAGGGTTAAAGAGTATTTTACCCTGAGGACAATCAGATACACAGTTGCAAACAGGCAGACTGAAATGGCAAGCAATGTGAAGTGGAAGCCACAGGCAGCATGTATTTTACACTGCAGGTATTCAGTAAGACCCAGGCAGTCTGACATATTCTGACAAGTCAAGGAGGGAAAGCTATTCATCTGTCAATTAATATTTTATTTCAAATGACAAATGTAGCCTCCTTCCTCACAAGTCTCCCTGTAAAGCCCCTGCTGCGATACTCAGAGCACATTGTATTTCCTTCTTTGACCTTAAAGATCCCACACGTCAAAACACTTGGACAATTTTACTTTTCTTTGAAAAAAAAAAATATAATTCACAGATGGTTGAAAACAGATGAGACAAAAGACAGAAAAATGAGCAGCTGACAGCATCAGCATTGCAATCCAGATGGGGGGATTGGCGTGAACAGATGATATAGTCAAGGACTTTCTGAATTACTGTTTTAAAATTGATGGATACACATTATATGCCAGTTTGTTTTTCACCCGTTTCTCTGGTATGGCTGCAAGTTTTTACTTGACATGTTATTTGTGGTAGTTGACCAAAGGTGTTATAAAAGGTGCTTAAAATGATCAAAGACAATACATTGATCATCAGTTATTTTATAGGGAAAACCTCATTGTATCACAGAGTTAATCATGATTTTGTTTAGAACACATACTGCATCTCTATTTAAAAACTTATATCATTAGAACATTGCTCCTTCAGTGCCACTAAATCCAGATTTCTGTTTGCACTTTATCTTAGGCGCACTGTGCCTTATGGTATGTCTAACTACAGAGGGCCAAAGAGAAGGAGACGTGATGCTACTGCAATAGTGGCTAAAGGTGATCAGCCTCAGATGCGACGCTGCATATGTGCTGTGACTGATGCAGACCCTGGGTGCAGAAACTTTTGCCACTCAAGGTAAGCATGTTTTCAAATGGACTGACATGGATCTATGTAATATGAAATAGGAGTAAATTATGGTGTTTACACCAGATGTCCATCATTATCCTAAACTTATAATGGAAAAAAAAAAAAAAAACCTTAAATCTGACTAAATTCATTCATGACCTAATTACACTAAGCAGTCTTTTATACGTAAAAAAAATAAATAAATAAATAAAAAATTGCCTATGTAACATGATATATTTTTGAAACTTCCTTTTAACATTAGTCAATGATGAAAACATATTTCATACTCCTGAACTATCTTTGTCATATTTCATTTCAGCTCTAGCTATATGACAATATAAGAACCCCGAGCCTTTGATTACTGTTCAATAAGTATCTTAGGTATGCTTTTAATAACACTGATATTTTTTCTAGGATAAAGCATTACTGTAATTGGGCTTGGTTTCTTATCCTAAACATATTGTTGGCCTGAATCCACAGTAAATTTAAACTCTTGGCACTGACTTTAAACAACTATATTAAAAAAAAAAAAAAAAAAAAAAAAAAAAAAAAGCCAGTCTTTTTTGCTGTTTGGTAAACGGAACCAGCCCTTTTATCTTTGCTTTGGAGTGTGTGACCTAAACAGCGGAATGATAGCTGCTTTAAGGTCTCTGGTTAAAAATAAATGTATGCCAGTGTCCTACATGACCTGTAACCCTGTTGTTATATCTGTTTTCATAATTAAATGAGATTTATTTTAATAATACATAGATTTTCATTATTCTTTTCTTTAAAGCCTGCATCAGACTCAACCAGCCAGAATCCTCCACAAAGACCCTGTCTTCGGATGACACAACAGCATCTATAAATCTGCTCCTCTTCCTTTTTCAATGGATTTTTTTATCCCCTTGCCTTTACCCTGTGTTTGGCTCCTTGCCTCCCAGGTACAAACTGTGAAAATGAAGAACTTCGGAGTTGCGCTCTGCCAACATTCCGCAGCATCAAAACTCTTGGAACAAGTTCCATCAGGCCAACAGGTTTCAAGAAGTCCTCAGTAAAATTTGATGCAGACCCCCAGAGGCTATTCCCCCTTTTTGATTCATTTTGAAAGAACCAAAGGATCACTCTTATAATGATAGAAATACAAAACTAATGACTGTTTATGTCAAGCTTCATCAGTTCAGTGCTTGGGTTTTGGTTTGTTTGTTGTCACCTGCAAATTTCCGAATTTGAATAGTCTAATATGGAGTCAGAAAGGGGTCAAAATGTTTGTAAAGAAAAAATAGAAGTTGATATTTAATGTCAAATTTGAACCATATAATGTGAGAAACTAAAAAAGCAAACATAAGTTAATAAGAATTGAATCTAGATTCAGTTTAGTATTCTAATTACAATGTTTGTTTTTTATTGCAGTTTTAGATATATAAAACTGCAATAAATATATATTCAGATTCAAATCACTCTCTGACAGTTAGTTTCTGTATTTAGTTTCAAATTCATCAGGATTTTTGTTTTACTCTTTCAAAGCAGTTTTTTAGACCCCAATCTGAAATATTTTCACTTTCAAAATCTGAACATGAAAAAAACTGATTCGAAAGTGTAAAAAAAATAAAAAATCCTGAAACTGAAAAAGGAATTTGAAGCTAAAAAAAGAAATATAAATTGAAAGAAAGGGATTTGAATCTGAAAATATAAAACTGCAATTGAAAAGAAGAATAAAAAAAATTTAAAGTGTAATTAAAATGCTAAACTGAAATATGAGGTTTTTTTTTCAAGCTGAGGGTAAGAATTTTGATTCAGTTCTTATTATTTTATGTTTGCTTTTTTTAGCTTCTCAGATTATAAGGTAAAAATAGGAAATTCAATGTCAGCTTATATTTTTTCTGTTTATTCTTTCAGTTCAACTAGGATTTATAAGATTACAAACATTTTGACCCCTTTCTGACTCCATAGACTAAGACCACCATATAAGCTTATAACAGTATATAAGAAACTATATTCCATAGAGAAGAGCCGCAGTGACGACTAAGGCCTCTGTACATGGGCTGCACACTTTTAACATTCCATAGGGAAGACTATAAATGACAAAAAAAAAATTACTAGAGCATTAAGTTCATGTAAACTCTTTTTTTTTTTTTTCCAAAATTATTTATAGCCTATTGGAAATGCAATGTCTGTCCACTTTATAGCTACATCTAAATAGCAATGAGTGAGTACCTTTTTGCCCTTTAATTGCTTTAATTGCTTTAATTCTTTTTTTTTTGCTGAGATTCATTGTTCTTGGAAGCTTTGTATAAAGATTTTGGCATTTTTAAATCTCTGTTGTAAATTTCTTGACCGCAGTTCACAGCAGTCAATCTCCTTTATCAAAAGATGGGCTGAGATCAGTTGTTGTGATTAAACAACACACACTACAAAGGTAAATAAATTATCTTGAAAATCCTTCATACCATCACACCAGCACCATTGTTGTTGATAAAAGGTAATGCTGCTTACATTAACTCTGTCCCTACCATCTGAATGTTACACCTACTCACAACATCAGAGAATGGTTTCCCAGTCATTTTGTCAGTGTAGATAAGCTGGTGTAAGTGCTACATTCATTTTCCTGTGCTTAGCGGATCGGATTGGCTTTTGATTTGGTCTGCTGCTGCTATAGTTCGCCTGCTGCAAGATTTAATGGCTGTCTTGGTATTTTCTTTTTTTTCTGACCATTCTGTTAGCCTGAGAGATGGATCAGCAGTTTCTGAAATAGTAAATTAGACCAACCGTCTGACCCCAACTATTAAGTCTAGTTCAAAGTCACTTTAGGTCTGTCTTTCCCATTCTGTTTGGTTGAAACTTTGGGAAGTCATCTACATCCTGATCCCAAGGGCCCACTGTCCCTGTTCTATATGTATCACTACTCAAGCAAACCTGCTTCAAATGATGACATTTCCTCCTTGCAGCCCTCAAACACTGCAAGCGCCTGTGAATTAACTTTTCATTCAGGTCCGGTGTGTGGACGCAGGGAAACCTAAAACATGCAGGACAATACGCCCCAAGGACCAGGGTTAAGAAACCCTGATCTTTTTGGTGGAAAAGCTATTATATTCCTATAAATGTGCCTGATTAGGGTAGATGGCTGGTCTTTAAGCAAACAAAATGTTCACACCTTGAATAATTATATTACGGTATGTTAAAATGTAATGAGCTGTCTGTGTTGTGTCTTATGTCTGTGATAACACAAGTTAACCGGTGTTTTCTAAATCCTGAATCACTTTACAAACTTGTCCCAAAATATGGCTCTTGTCGAACTCTTTCTGTTTTAATTGTTTATAAGGCTTAAAGTGTTCTGTTAATACCTTAACTGGAAAATTCTTAAAAAGAACAATTATGTTGTCATTGCTCTGCATGGTTTCCTCCTATTTGCCAAGGAGCTGTATTCATTTTAGAAAAATATTTAGATATTAAAGGCAGGCATCAACAGGTAAAGTACAGTTTGTGAGCCAATGCTGTCATTCTCACCATACAAATGTGGTGAACTGCTATCTATGATTGTCTAAAAAAAGGTTTGTTATAAGTAGGGACCAGTACCTTAATTCTTACAGTTTTAGCAGCACCAACAAAATATTTAAACCTTATTCATCACTGTATAAATAATTTGTTAAGAGGAAAAGATAAACATTCAGTATGAATTGATTATATATTTTATTACATGCACATTTTTGTCCTTTGTTTTGTAAGCTATGTAACAGCAAACCTAACATTTTAGTGTTTAATTCTGACTTCCTTTGTTTACACTTTTAATTCCATTATATTCTAGGCTTTTATCACTAACCATGATCAAATTACAAGTATTAAGAGGAAATCTTGATTGTTTTTTATCTGGATGTTTATTCTCATAGCTCAGTTTTTCCAATAATGGTACATTAAAGCTGTTTTTCAACCCTCATTCATAAGGAACACTACCATGCATGTTGTAGATGTTTCCCTATAGGTTTGTATGCGTAAAATAACCTTTAACTGGGATTTTTTTAGTGCAGCACTATCACATTTTTTCATTAATTATTGTTAAAGTCTTCACTTGGTAGAGTTGCTTTGCCATCAAGATAGTTTGTCAAAGGAACTTGCCAAAAGTAATTTTCCAGCTTTGTATCTTTGAGGTTTGACACCTTCCTTGGTTTTCCCAATAAATCCTGGAAGGTATTCAAGTATGAACTTTGGTTTGGCAAATACAAAAGTACCATAATGTTGTCCTCTGTTGACTATTATTGACTACTCTGCTGTATTGTTTTTCTCTTTTTGAGTGTGCTGATGGTCAAGTTTTCTTCCAGACTGACTGTCCCGAATCCTTTTTTTTCTCAGAATAATTAAATTCATTCCAGAAATGCTTTGTTGATCCTAAAGGGAAATTAAAATTATTAACTCAAAAATCACCTAATCTTTATTATTCTTTATAAACACCTCAAGACTGACACACCTGCCCCACACCCAACTGTGTATTGCTTCCAAATCCTCCAGTAATAAAAGATTACCTTTGAGTTAATTAAAGTTGGATCAGTTAACACGTGTTGTAGTCAATGCATTGCTAGTTTGTGTGCATGATAGATGTTGACGTGTGAAAACACTGATCATTTCATAAAATAAGACCTCAAAGCAGTTAGGAACTGGTGCAGCAATTGGACCAACTAGAACTCAGAGCTGAATACTAGCCATAATTTGAGGTGAAAATTACCATAGGTGCAGTCAAGTAATGAATAAAAAGCTCTCTAAAGAAAACCCTATGTCCACCAATCAGACATGACATTACGAACACTGACAGATGAAGAGAAAAACTGATTGCACCTTAATCTGAGCAAAGTCCTTTATTGGATTCTATTAGTCAACAAGTAACTTCTTTTTTTTTTATTTACAAAATGTGCTTGAAAAAAGAAAAAAACATTGTTAGGTGTAAGGATTTGAACGACTTTGACATGTTTTGAACTTTAAAAGCATCTCCAACAATGCAGCTCTAGTGGGTCGTTCCCAGTCTGTCGTAGTTAGGTGTTGAAAAAAGGGGCTGAAACTAAGGTTTGCTTATTTAGATAGGGAGTAAAGATGGTCCAGATATCCAGACTAAACTGGAATCTGCTGTAGCTAAGATAAATTAAGTTATGATAGAAAGGTGTCAGAAAACGCTGCACAATATAATTTATCATGTATGCATAGCTGAAAAAATCCCCTATATCTCGGTCAAATCAAGTATAATGGGAATGTGGTGGACAAAAAAGTCCAAATAACATGGGTCCTTGCAACTGGCAAGACTCAAAGGATGAACTAAAAATATGTCAGTTATAAACATCCCACTAAACATATACAATACCCCAATACACCTTCAGCTGGAGATTATACATCAATGAGTCAGGGGTGTAACCCAAGACACTATCAGACTGGCGGTCTTAATGTTAGGCCTTATGGATGTTTAGTTGATTAAAATTTTGGACATGGAATAAAAATGTATCACAAATGTTTTACACACATTAGCCCTGATCGATACAAGTTAAAACTAAATGCTAGGAAGTGATTTAAAACACATAATTAATTTCAACTGACAACAAAAGACGGGTTGAAACGGCTTGAGGATAAAAAAAAATGGACATTGGGCTGGTGAACGTTGTATTTAAAAAAAAAAAATTCATTTGGAAAAATACAAGACACTTTTTGTTTAAGTGATTTTCCCTTGTTTTTCTTTTAGGTTCCCCCTTAAAAATCCAGGATTTACAGAGAAACATACTCTGTATAGTATTTATAATATCTATGTATAAATTGTATATACATGAATAATTGCTATATTTATACATATAATAAAAAACATCAAATGCCAATGGTTGATAATGATTTAAAGATTCTGCTTGGTAGTTCAACAGTTTGTTTGAACACATTTTGCGAAATATTTTTTACATTTTGAAAATAAATTCTTTGTTGATAATACTCATGTTTAAAATGTTTTTTTTCCTGCATCTAATCTTTGAATAAAGACTTTCTTTCACTTTTTGTGAGACTGTATAGGAAACATTGTTCTAATTGATATGGACCAACAGGAAACTATTATTTAGTGGACAGAATTGTTGGCACCCCATGTAAATTAAAAACAGTCACAATGGTCACATGCTAACTTAAATGAGAGAAATGTAATAAAGATAACAATACTATGAAAATGAACCAATGAAAGTCAGGCACTGCTTTTCAACAATGCTTCAACAGAAGGTTTTTATAAAATAAACAGGCCTGGAAGAAAATGATGGTTACCCTGGAAAGAACTAATAATATATTTGACCAGAGGAACATGTTTAATTCAATGTGTTTTTGCTAATCAGCTTCACAGGGGTTTGCAATCTTGTAATCGGTCAGTGTGCCAATCTATAGTCACTGTCAGTGTTGGGAAAGTTCTCTTTCTACGTGAACTAGTTCAAAGTTCAGTTCACACATTTTAAAATGAACTAGTTCAGTTCATAGTTCATAATTCAAAATTTTGAACTAAGTTCACAGTTCCAAAAAATTAACTAGTTCATAGTTCTTTTTTTTTTTTTTTCATATATTGCTCAATCATACGGAGCCCCTCTGATGACATGGTCAAAAAAAATGTTTAATTGTGGTCACGAAGTAGTATTTCGTGCGCACGAAGTAGTATTTCGCGGCCACGCAATAAGTATAACGTGCGCACGAAATACTACTTCATGGCCACACAATAAGTTTAACGTGCGCACGAAATACTACTTCGTGGCCACGCAATAAGTTTAATGTGCGCACGAAATACTTATTAATAATAAATCCACCCCTGTTTTCAGGCTTATGTTAACTTTAATGACTTATCTTGGACAGGCTGCTATGTAAATGGGCCTTTAGTCCTTTATTTAGCTATGCTGCGGTTGTTTACGCCTTTTCCACCTAAAATGGCGTCTTAGCAACAAATGACACGTGACTGGCGGAGACCGACTGGGTAAGCAAATCGAGCGCGCCTTAGACCTTAGAGAAGGCGCGCTCGATTTGCTTACCCAGTTGTCCAGGAATGATATTAATATTAATAAGTATTTTGTGCGCACGATAAACTAATTGCGTGGCCACAAAGTAGTATTTCGTGCGCACGATAAACTTATTGCGTGGCCACGAAGTAGT